TAGATTTTCTCTATTTTTAAAAAAAAGATGACAAGCAACAACATGCCCTAGCACTCCTACAATATTAAGTATTCATTTTTGGAGGGTGGATTTAACAGAGTGTTGTAAAGATAATACCTTCGTTTGTTGGACTGTAATGCAGGCACTTATCTGACAAGAAGCAGAAAAAGAAGAAATATGGAGTCTGTATACAACAAGGGATGCTGATCGCCAGGTACATGCCAATTCATGACCAGAACAGGCAGAACAAGAATCGAGGGTGTGGGAAAGCAGTGTGAGGACAGTGTGCAAACATCACCTATTTTACAACTTGATTTTGAGAGAATAACATACTTCACACAAGTAGCCTAGTATCTAATTTTGAACCTCTTAAAAAGGCATTTTCCCCCTAGATGTTTAAAGAAGATTTGTTGAAAAAGGATTTAGTAATTTCTTTTAAAACTGAATATGTTAAAGCTGTAATGAAATGCTTTAAAAAAAACTTGAAAATAAAATTTGAAAATTAAAAAAAAAAATAAAGGAAAAATAAAAAGAAGAAATGCTTATAACCACATGCATTCTAACATGTCTCCCCCCAGTGTCCTGCCTGCCATGACCCTTGATGGAAAGCAGGGTGTGTGTGGCCAGTCAGAGAAGCTGCTGTCTTGGTTACAGATTTTCTCGGTAGCTTATTTGGAAGAGTTGCTGGGTTCTTGAAAATAAAATTTGAAAATTAAAAAAAAAAATAAAGGAAAAATAAAAAGAAGAAATGCTTATAACCACATGCATTCTAACATGTCTCCCCGCAGTGTCCTGCCTGCCATGACCCTTGATGGAAAGCAGGCTGTGTGTGGCCAGTCAGAGAAGCTGCTGTCTTGGTTACAGATTTTCTCGGTAGCTCATTTGGAACAGTTGCTGGGTTCTTATCTGAGGCTGAAGCAAGTGACCATCATTTGGATCACTCTGTTCCCTATTCTTCACTGTGTAACAGAATAAATACCAACCTGATTTACCTAAAAAAAAAAAAATAAGGTAATAATGCAATAAAAAATTAGTGTTTCCTTTTTTTTTTTTTTTTTTTTTGCCTTTCGGGACCTGGGTTTCACCCTCCCACACCGTAGCAGTAGGCAGTGGGCAGTGAGCTGATGCCCCTGGTGACTCTGGGCTCCGAATCTCAACCCTGGCCACTACCAAGGTCAGGGGAAAAGTTTAGCATTTTATTGTGCAGACATATCAAACTGAATAGAATAGGCATCCTATGCATGGGTTTGTAAATAATTCAGAAGCTGCCTGTGCTGATGCTTACCTGTAGTCTCAGCTACTAGAGAGGATAAAGCTTGACTTTAGGTGTTTGTTGCTAGCTTGGGCAACAGAGGGCACTTTTGACACTCTATCTTAAAAAGAAAAAGATGTAATTAAAATAAAAAATAATTTCCCATAGTAGTGTACAACTGTAATTGAAGCACCCAGGAGGCAGCTGAGGCAGGACAGTGAGCTCAAGGTCAAACTGGGGTATATAATGAGACCTTGTCTCAAGAACATCAAATAGAGTGGTCTGTTTGGAGTGGTAGAGGAGTGGTGTATATACATGATAGAGTTATTATATGCATGAAACTGTGAAATAAATATATTTTTGATGTACCCATAACCCTGTTTGAAGTATAAGGGTAAATTCTCAATCATTACCTTTCTCTCTCTTCTCCTATTTTTTTTGGGGGGGGGCTTTTTGAGACAGGGTCTCCTTGTAGCCCCAGCTGTCCTGGAACTTGCTATGTAGACCAGGGTGGCCTTGAACTCACAGAGATCTGCCTGTCTCTGCCTCTCGAGTGCTGGGATTATTAGGCCTGCGCCACCCTGATTGACTTATCTTTTTTAAAAAAATATTTTAGTTTTTTTACATGTATGAGTGTATTGCCTGCGTGTTATGTTAAGCGTACCCATGTTGTGCAATGCCCAAGGAGGTTCCCCTGGAACTGGAGTTACAGATAGCTGTTAGCAACCATGTCGGTGCTGGGAACTGAACCCAGGTCTTCTGTAAGAGCATGCTGTTGAACGCTGAGTCATAGCTCCAGCTCCCCTCCTTGAAAAATATTTTATTTTACAACTGTTTTGTCTGAATGTTTGTAAGTGTGAGTGCTTGCAGAGGCCGGAAGAGGGTGTTTGATCCCCTGGAACAGCACCCAGGTGGGTACTGGGACTCAAACCCTGGTCCTCTGAAAGAACAGCAAGTGTTCTTGACCACTGAATATTCTCTCCAGCTCCCTCTCTTTTTCAGAGATAGTGTCTCATTCCAAACAAAGGTGCCCCCTTTCCCCGAGACTATAAAGCCAGTCTCAAACTTGCAATCTTTTCGTCTCGCCTCCGGAATGCGTGATTTCAGGTGTGTGTCACAATGTCCACACATATTTGCACCTCAGCCATACTTTAACTTTTGGGTTTTATTATTTATTAAATTTTCTGTACGAGTGTATTGCCTCCATGCGCGTAAGTGCACCCATGTCGTGCAATGCCCGCGAAGGTCAGAAAACGGTGTCCAAGCCTCTGGAAATGGAGTTAAGAGACGGTAGTTAGCAGCCATGTCTAGTTAGCAGGCACGTCGGTGCAGACCAGACCGGAACCCCATCCTCTGGGAGAGCAGCCAGTGCTTTTAACCGCTGAGCCATCTCTCCAGCCCACCAACGTTTGGATTTTTAAATTTCAGTCCCACTTAATTCGTGTCAGCCGAGTTACTTTTCTCGTCTACTGGCTACGACTTTAGTATTTAAATTTGAAAACAAACAACCACTGAAAATCAACAACGAACCGCCAAACTTCCGGGAGTGGACCAGTTCCACCGGCCTCCTCCCGCCTCCAAGGATGCAGCACTGGGCTCTGCACGCTGCGTGCCCTGTGACGTCACCAACGGACTAAACCAACTGCAGCTAGGGAAATTTCTGCCACCTTGCTCTCCGAATTCGCTTCTTTCAAACTCCTGCTTTCTTAAACTCACTTCAACTCATGTCTCTTTCTATCTAACCTCAATTGCGAAAGCGACAGATGCATATGTTACCCTGCCGTTCATGCGCTCACCGTCGCCCAGCTGCCGCCCTCCCCCCCGCCCGTAGTGGTATCGCCCAACCGTTTTTGGCGGGAGCGCGCTCACCGCCTTCTCCCTCACGAGAGGAAGGCGGAGCCGAACGGTAGCGTCTCTGATCTCCCCGCCTCCGAGTGGGCCGGGCGCTTTGGGCTGGGCTTCTGAGTGGCTACTGGTAACTGGAGGGCCCGGAAAGGCAAGCACCGAGATGGGAGGGACTCGGGGAGCTCGGGTTTTTCCACCGCGGCCGGTCGCTGCGGGAACTGAGCAAAAAAGGCTCCGCGTTCTCCGGTGGCGGCCGGCGTAGTCACGGCGACCGGGGACGCGAGGTGGACTGGGCCCGCCAAAGCCGGCGTTCCCAGGGCGATGCCCCGCGTGGGTGGCAGCTCGAGTGTGTGGAACTCAGACTCGCCGTTTCCACACGGTTGGAGGCGGCTCTGAGGAGCGCGGCCACGCGGGAATTAGCCGGTTTCGTGAGCACCGCGCTAGTCTCCCGCTTCCGTAGTAACTCTGCCCCGAGGCTTGCCTCTGACTCTAAGACCTGTACCTGGGGTTTCAGAGCTGACAAGCAGAGCACTTGGGTCCCCACACTCGCCTCTAACTAACTCCTCCGTCCCCAGCTCCGGCCCCCAGCGGACTTCTGTAACTGGATCGCTCCAGCCCTCCGTCTCCTCCCGAATGTCCTGGTCGGTGCAAAGGTCCTCGGTGACTTCTATACCCAGCACCTCCCTGGAGTCGGATCCGGGGTCGGTCCCTGCGTCACTGGCCAACAGTCCCCAAGGGTCTGTAGATGAACCCGCTCCGCCCGTGTTGCCTGACTACTCCTGGGAACTGGCAGTAGATCCTCCCGTAGCCAGTAACAGTTTCCGACATTCCTTACAACTGCCTTGCACTCCCAACAACACTCCACGCGTGTCGGAGGACGATGCCTTCACGTCCTTTCCTCCGGGCTCTGCTTTTTTACCCTCATCATTACAATCTGCACCCTATTTCCTTTCCCCTCTGTCCCCAAGACCTTTGCTACCCAATAACTCAGTACCTGGGTCAGCAAGGCCCCCAATGCACTTGCCCCGGGTTTTGGTGCAAGGACCTCCTCCCTTCCGTGCCAGCCCTAGAATGCCAGTACAAGGGCCAGCCCTGCCCTACAGGTTGGGCTCCCCCAGGGCATCTCCGGAACGATCAGCTCCGCCCCTGGGCGCTCCGGGTTTAGTAGCACCAGGGGCCGCTCCGCCCCCAGGGCTGGGCTCCCCGAGGATATGGTTAGAAAGATCGACTCCGCCCCTGGACGCCAGGCAGCTTTCTGTCCATGGGTCTGTTCCGCCCTGGGCGGTCCCCCGTCTTAAATCCGAGTCTGGGGAGAATCTCGACCAAACCATGGCGAGTCAGGGGAAGCTGAGCACCACAGGCCACGTGTTCGACGTAGTCGTGATTGGAGGCGGCATCTCAGGTTAGTATGGCCTTTAACAGGGGCTTGGGGGGCTCTGGCTGGCCAGGGGTAGGGGACTTGCGGTATTGTTATGTTTGGAGGTCTGTTTGGTGCATGCAAGAGTGTTACTGTGGCTGGTCCCCAGCTCCTGCCAGATGGGTGTGGGGGTTGGGTCTGTTTGCTGGTGGTATGACAGAGGAAGGAGGCAAATAATTTTACTCCTATTAAATTCTTAGGTTTTATTAGCTCTTGCGCGGTGCAGTGACAATTTAGCATATTGTGTGGGTTTCCTCTGTCCTCAGCAGTCCTGTGAAATGGGTACTAAATTGCTGCAATTTTACAAAAACCAAGCAACTATGGTTTGAGAGTTTTAGCCACCCTCCTGAGCTCTCATTGCCTTGCTGGGAAGCCTCTGACCCATTTTCTCTTTTGAAGACCTTTACTCTTAATTCCTGAGGTGGCTGCTTGCCTTTGCTGATTTCACATCCTTCCTCTTGAACAGAGCATCAGCATACTATTGAGGTGGAAGTTAAGAGTAGTTCATTCCTGCTCTTCTCTAAAGCACCTTCCCTAAAGCAGGAGCTGAGGCAGGTCAGGGAGCCCTGTTGAATCCACTTGCTAATAGCTGCACTACCTGCTTCTTGTGGTCTGGTCCTGGCTTGGGTGGCCAAGGAAAGGGTACATGAACTTTTTCTTTTCCTTGAGACCTTGTCAGTATTTGTATATTAAATTGCCACTTATGTTGTCATTATTGGCAAACTTTAGGGGTTGTGTTTTAGCTCTAGCTAGAAGTCCATGCCAACTTGTCCCCTTCTCCAAAGGTGTTAACAGTTTCAGAGATAAATTTGCGAGATCCGACTTAGAAAAAAGAAGGTAGGAGGGAGTAAACAGGGTGGCCCCACAGTAGTCATTTAATGTATGATTCTTTTGAATAGAATGTGAGCAGGCTCATATATTAATTTTGGATTTAGGCAGCTCAATTTGGGCTTATCATGTTCAAGGCAAACTTTTCTAATCACCAGATTGGTATGAACTTGCTTTGGCAGTTCAAGCCAACATCAGCACCAATATGCATACATGTTGCAGCATCAGAGGAAAGCAGATCCCAGTGAAGAGTAAGAAAAGGGAGCATTTTTCTTGTTTCCCTCCCTCCCTCCCTCCCTCCCTCCCTCCCTCCCTCTCTTTCTTGACAGGGTCTCCCTAGTCCCAGTCCTCCTGGAAGTCACTATGTAGACCAAGCTGACCTTGATATCACAGAGATCCTCCTGCCTTTAAGTGCTTTTGACTATGCCTTAAAACTTCCCTATTAAGATTTGCATTCTTTTGTCATGCTACCCATGCACTTATAATATGTGGCCAATAATTAACATTTATAGTGTTATAGCTCTCAGAAAATTACATATTCTAAATGGCATTACTCAGAACTAATCCACATTAACAGTTATATCTTCACACAAAGAATAGTAGTATCCTGATATATCTTTTTGTCATTCAAAACATAAGATAGGACATTTCTTTCAGCCAAAATACCCTAGCTTCGGTTCACCCAGCAATTAAATAACTTTTTAATCCTGTGTTAGTACTTCTAAAGGGAAACAGCCCTGCTCATCTGTTAGTTTTGTGGTTTATTTACCATACTCTGACCTCTATCTATCATCATCCATCATCTGTAACCCATTTCTTTTGAAACTCTCCATGTTTTCTGTGACACTGTAGTATCCTGAAGTTTTATCCCATGTTGATCATAAATTTTCCATTTCTTTTCTTGAACTTACATTTTTACAAACATACTTTGAAATCACCTTAAGGTTCTGCTGTTGATTACTTTTGGGCTCTCATTTCTCTTCTTTTTCATTTTAGTATTCTAGTGTTCTCTTAGCTATAGAAAGTTCTCTAGTCTTTAATTCGACTCCTTTCCTTTCTCTGAGCTTGTCTTCTCCTGGATATTTCACACTTGAAATACTGCAGATTCAGCACTTCCAAAAGCTGCCTTGCCATTTAATCCACCTAATCTTCCTTAGTTCTTTGACTCTTTTTCCCAGATAACCACACTTTCCATCACCTTTGACATATCCTTTTCTCCCCTTTTTGTTTCTGAGAAAGGGTCATGCATAACCCAGGCCAAATTTGAACACACCATGTACCTAGGATGATCTTGAACTTTCGATCTCTTGCTACCACTTCAAAATACCAGAATTACAGGTGTGTGCCACCATGCCCAGATTTTTGTTTTTATGTGGCACTGGAGATCAAACCCAGGGCTTCATGCATGCTAAGCAAGCATTCTATCAAATGATCTGTATATCCAGCCATATACTTTTCTTTCAACTTCTGCACCCTTATCAGTTTTATAATGTGCTAGAGATTAAACACTAGGCTTCACATATGCAAAACACATACTCTTGTCAATGAGCTACATCTCCAACCCTTCTGTATCCCTTAGACAGGTCCTTTTAGCCTGTCTTCGACTAATTCTCCTTCTACACCCTCAGTTACCATGCTCATGCTCCCATCCTGAGGATAGACTCTGACTCCTGACTATAACACCTTCTAGTGGCCATGCTATCTCTTCATATCCGTCCTGAATGAAGTATTCTTCCAGACTTGATTTATTTTGACCACTTCTTTTTCAGCTCTCTATTCAAGATCTTTGATGGTCTCATATGACCAACCTTTCAAGACCAAATCCACAATGCCAATTGTCTGGTTCTGCTTTCCAGTTTTCCCAATATGGATTTGAGCTTTAGTCACACTGCCTCTTATTCCAGTGTTAACCTGTTTTATTTTTGTCCCTTCATGCCCTCCCCGCTTTCATCTTAACAGGGAAGTGCTTCTCTCTAACAATTCATATCTATCCTGCTATACCTGGATGAAGATTCTTTTCTTAATTGCTCTGACTTCCACTGATTTTTTTCCTACACCCCCACAGATATTTTAATATGTGCTCAACAAGGTGCAGTTACTTTCTGTCTCTTATTTCTTAATTTGATTAAGGACACTGTTCCAGCATCTGATTTTAGATGATAAGTCTTAGTCATCAGCTGTCACAGACAGAATAAATAACCACAAAATGGATGGAAGATTTTACTATTTGCCCTTATCTGGGAATTTCTGAAGTGGTTCTCTTTGGAGAGAGAAATAAGAAATTGAAAAGAAAAGCCCATTTCATTAGGGCAATGTGTATATATTTAATCGGGCTGTTTGGAATTACAGTCTTTGGTTGGAGGATCTTAAAAAGCAATTAGCTCAGTCACCTATGATTTTAATCTGCCTGACAGCATCTCTTTAATGATTATTTAACTATAGCTGTGAACACAGGAAAGGGGGAACACTCTGTTCCTCTAAGCAACTCAGATGCTCAGGCTCCTGGATTTATTCAGATACTTTACAGCCTCTACCATATACTGGATAGTAGTTAGATCACAGGTATATAAAGATAACTAGCATCCCTGTGAGAAAAGTGCCCTTATCCTCTTGTAAGAAATAACTAAGTTGGCAAATAATTGACGTGAATACTGTGATATAAATATTAATGTTATAGATATCCACAGAGCACTGAGACTTTGATAGGGAAGTAGGATTTTAACAGGTAGGGATAAGAGAATGGGAAAATAAAAGACATTCCAAAGAATAGAGACCAAAAGAATATTGGCAGTGTCATGAGGGTATAACCCAGACATGAGGAATACCTAATTTAAGTCCATAGCAGAAGTACCAGGGAAGGGAATGTGTGTGTGTCTAGGAATGTGATCCTGTATGCCCTGTCTGCCTGTGAGTTTTATGCCTGTGAATTTCTCAGGGTTAGCAAATACCCAGTGAAAATGTGTTAGTCATAGTGCAGAATGGTACCTGATGAATAGAAAGTTTACCCATGGTTTTGTTTGTTTGTTGGCAGTTAGATACCAGGCCATATAGAAAGAGATTTCACTGTCTAAATTTTTATCCATAAACAGAGCTCTGCTAAAATATTTGAGAGCTCTAGCAGCCCCAAACCTGTTGGTGTATTAAACCAGTGCGGGTTGAATTTTCTCATTATCCAAGACAGAAAAGCTCTTTTACGAGAATAATTAATGTTATGAATTCTGACAATTAAATTGTACATCATACTACAGTTTTTCTTTTTGGTGAAATACATTATCTATAAGAATCATTTATATGAGGATCATTTTAAGCATTTTAACCTAAAACTTGGCAGCACATGCTGTGTGGTTTGCAGTGATTAAGAAAAGCTCCCATTTAAAAAAAAAGGGTACTGATTTTTGATACCATAGTTATTGGATACTCTGAGGTTCAGTGAACCTGAGAATTTTGTGCCTTTTAGGATATTTATTTGCTTTAATTTTATTTTTTCACTAAAAATAAACTAGAATAGTTTCATTCTATTGTATAAATTAATTTTTTTGGTTCCTGAACAGTGAATACAAGAATTACATTTATTTGGATTCTGACTTTTAAAAAGTATTTTTTACAATGGTTAAATTAACTTTTGGTTGGATCTGACAATTAATAGGCAGTTTTAACATTTAGTCAAAGCTAACTAACTTGAGTTTATGCATAATTCTCAGCTACTGTGACAACTGTTTTTAAGAATAAATCTATGTATAGTATAAGTACATGGATCACAGAGATCAAGTATGTGGAAATGTCTTAGCTTATCATTGTTGAATATTGTATCCCATAATCTGTCTAGTTGTGGTATAGAGATATTTTAACATGAAAAATCTTGCAGTATTTGGATTCAGCAGTATCCAGAAATAGTGAAGCTATATTTTAGTTTTGTATCATAGGAGCTTGCAAAAGTGCTCAGTCCTGTGATTTTTAAGTATATATACCCAATAAGTACTTGCCTAAGGAATATAGTTGCATGTTTGAGATGCATAGATTTTGTAATAAGTTCAGGGATTTCTTGAGAGATAAGAACTTCACAAAAATGGATTGCATTTTTAAATGTAAGCGTTGGTGACAAGTTGACTGTTTAGGATATTTTCCCTCATTATTGTGACAAATTATATAAAATTTTA